TGAATATGATATAAAAATGGCAAATATGGTTGACAATATGAGCATTGATCTAAGCATTTGGAGCAGAATTGTGAATATTCACCTAATGAAGGAGTAAGTACATACTCCGAAATGTTGTGATCATCATAATAAAGAAGTTGACATTAATACATTCTCCACCTTTAAGTCCTTATGTGTATAACTTGTAAATAACTTTCATAGACTTCAGGAGTTTATCTGTGATATATGTGTGCACTTAAATAAATCACTGCATCCTTACCTGAGGCAGGAATTGATAATAGGCAGGAACAGAAAAAATTAGTCAAAGTTATAGCCAAATACAGGTATTTGAAGATATTCAGTTGTGGCGACACTTTCAGAGAAACCCATACAGTATTTGATTTGTAGTAGTTAACGGTTCTGGTATTTTCTGTCTGTAACTGTAAAGAAGTTCCGAAATTGTAGCGAGCAACTGCCCAGACATAAGGAGGAACAAGATGACATAGATATTAACCCATTTGTAAACTGTACAGCCTGAAGTATGTTTGTTGCCACATATCAATAAAATAGTTCCATATTGGCTGATTTATTTGTTGTAATGTAAGGGCAGAAATAGCATCAGTTATTACTGACAAATATCCCTTGTAAAACCTTTCAACATGTTCAAATGACACATCGAAAGGCCATTGTGAAAAATTGTAATCTGACAGCACCATGTTAGGATTCTTAAATACAGTTTCAGCTTGACATTGAGTACTTTTAACTTTAAAGTGAAAAATACATTCACAACAAGTGAGCTGTGTCTGCCAATCAGAGTCGGTGAGTAAATTGGAGTAGGGGACTAATTTCGAAGGTAAACTTGTTCCAACGTTTAACAACTACATGTATTTGTGTTTGTATGAGACGATGTGTGTTTAATTCCATATATTTTACTTCAAAGCATGTTATCACAATAAATTGAGTCGGGTATAGGATAAGTTGGAGTAGAGGCTAATTTCTAATGTAAACTTGTTTTAACATTTCACAATTATTGGTCTTTGCAATTTATCAATCCAAGTTTAATTTCATTTATTTTACCAAGGTAAAAAAAAAACAAGGTATCATTTTCGTCAAGTAATAATATTTCGCCAGTCAGTGCCGTTTTGCTAAGGTGTCGTTTCAGCTATAACCCGCTTATTGCACATTATAAGTTTCAATTTATATTTATAATCATTTTAACCACTGTAATAAATAAAAAATGAAATAAAAGCATATAGAAAATAAACAAGCACTGGTTATAAAATGTGCATCCACAGGCAATATTTATAAGATAATCCTGCATGTAGCTGTGGCCATCACACTGAAGATGCACTTCACTTCTTTCTCATATGCCCAAATTACAATGATTTAAGACAGAATATGTACTATTATGTTAAGGGATATGATCTAAATTCAATTCTATTAGGTAATCCTGAAAGGACGTCAAAAATAAACTTAGAAATTCTTAAATCAGTACAAGACTACATTCAGCTGCCAATAGGTTTTGTGATTTTACATAGCATCTTAAATTTATAATACTATTCCTTGCCGTATATTGCAGTACACTATTACTAATAAAAATGCGACCTGACAGCGCCGACAACGTAGTTTCTATAATAAGAACATGTATATAATTGTATTCATTGACTGTACTTTTGTCATATCATATTGTATTCTAATTCTGGAGCGGTATTCAAATAAGTTTTTGCTTGTTTACCCATCCAGTTCACAAGTTGTGAAATAAATATGTTTAAAACAATATTTAGTAAACAAATAATTAAAACTTATGCAACAACATAGCGTGTGGAGACGATAGACCACTGAAAAGAGCATATATGCACATCCAATGACCCCTGACATCACAAGGCATTGTTTTGCCAGTGTGTCAGGCAACAGAATACTACGAATTACACCACAGGGTACTGTGACCTGTTTGAAAAGTAAGGTACTGTATTCTAAAGGTAGAGCAATCCAGTGATTGATATTGTGAACATCAATCCACACTGTTAGATGGTTACTGTCAGATGCCATGAACCAGGTCACCGAGCCTGATCACCTGATCTATTAGGTTATCTCTTATGGGTGAGGCTAAAACGGCACCTCAGCAAAATGTCACTGATTTCTCGGACGAAAACAGCACCTTGTTTTGGCAAAAAGGGCTACTAATTGTTGTCTGTTATCTGGAGAGACATGTTGATTCCTGGCCGAAAGATATATATATGAAATTTCTATAAAATTACTATTTATTTCCTACTTACTAAAATAAATATGACATATATAGTATACCTGTTGTCCAGTTTCTTGTAATTTTCGCCAGACTCAGTTTCAGCTTGACATTGAGCTAATCTGAGTAAAGCTACTTAAGACTTCAAAGCATGTGATCTTTCAATAATAAGTTTAGTTGCACCTCCCAATCAGAATCATGAGTAAATTTGAGCAGAGGCTAATATCTAATGTAAACTATTTTTAGGTGATTAACATCTAACAATTATTTGTGTTTGCAAGTTTAATTGCATTTATTTTACTTCAAAGAAATCAAAGAATATTATATTTTCACAATAAGTTTAGTTGCATCTCCAAATCAGAGTCGGCGAGTAGATGCTAGTTTTTAATGTAAACCTTTTTGAACATTTCTCAGTTATTTGTGTTTACAAGTGACCATGCAAGTTTAATTTTCATGTATTCGGGCATATTCAGACCCGAGGTAAAAAAAATAACAAGGTGCTGTTTTCACCAGGCAATAGTAGGCTAGGTGTTATTTCCCTTTATAGTATAACCCTCTCTTACAACTAGCATAGGTTGATGGGGACCAATTCCAACCCGGAATCCCCACATGAATGGGGAGGGTTTTACGCTGTTTTTAGCAATACCACAGCAAGGGACACCTGACATAGACTTCACACATTGTACCCATGACAAGAATCGAACCTTGGTCTTCAGCACTTCAACCACTAGGCTACCCCACTGCCAAAATTCCCAACATGATAAAGTTGTCATCACGGTATTCTTCAACAAGTTCAAGTGAAAATATCCATACATTTCAAATGTCTTATCTTCCATTTCACAATGTTCACTGTTGCAAAACTCCTGTCATTTAATTTGTTCTTGATTCTTCGCACCTGCAAAAGTAAGTTTAGTCGGTACGGTATGAACTAAAAAAATGAGTCACTTTAGAGTATCTAGATAAAGGAATATAAGTAAGCAAACGTATTTCTACATCATATACATTAGCAAGGATTAACATAAGTTAGGTAGATTGCTTATCCTACAAAAATTACTAACATTTACTAACATATATAAAACAGAATAAGTGGCTTACAGAAGATAAATAACTTTAATACGTGATTAATATTATTAACATATTCCTTACCTGAATCAGAGACCATATAACAGTCTATGTATTATGGTCTCTGTCTGAATATGTCACGTCTTCAGCTCCCTGCAATCGAGGTTGTGAAACATTTCTGCTGTAGGAATATTACATCCGCTGGGATATCCCTTGTCACACTGCCTGGCATGGTAGGCAAACGCATATTCCATACACCACATAGATATACTTCCTAATACACACTGTCGAACTTACTTACTTACTTTGGAGATTTAACGTGCGCTTTCCGACTGATGCGTATTTCGCACACGGGCCCGGCCAGGCCATTTAATGTGTTTCCGAAAGGGGCGAAGGTGGTCTGTGCAACCCAAGAGGGGGGTTTTAGGGGTTGCTTATATAGAATTTGGGAATTTTGAGATTTGGAATAGATGCCGATGGGATTGGGGAGGAGAACTAAGGGAGCTGGGTATGGTGGATGTTTGTTTGTTTATGTGATTTTGATTTGGTGAGTTATTGTGTTTTTAGATGCGTTTTATTAGTTCCGTTTTGATTAAGAATACGCCTAAGGCCTTGAAGTTTTCTAGTTTATTTTGTGGGTTTAGTATTGCTTCTAGAGTTAGAGCCTTGTTTAGATTGAGGGTGGTTTGTAATGCGGTTCGATGTGTTAGGTAGTGTGTGCAGTGGATGAGTGCGTGTTCTGGGGTTTCTGGTTGTTTGCAGTTACCTGTAGTGTGTTTTTTAAATTTTTTTAGGTGGTTATTTAGGTTGGTGTGTCCTGTTTGGAGTTTAGTGATTACTCTGTCGATTTTTTTGGATGGATGGAGAATTTTTGGTTTGGTTAGTGGTTTGCTGAGCACTTTTTTGATTTGGCTATTTGAGTTTAGATATAGGTTATGCCATTTTTTGGTGATTTTTTGCTTGTTTACACTTTTAATTTCTGATTTTGAGATGGGTAAGTTTAAGCTTATTTCTGGGATTTTGAGGGATAGTTTAGCTGCTTTATCTGCGTTTTCATTACCGTATATTCCTACGTGGGCGGGTATCCACAAGAAGGTTATTTGTTTGCCTGCCTTAGTTAGGTCGTTGGAGCTTTTAAGTATTTGATTTATTAATTTAGGTCGGTTTTTGGTATTTTTGTTTTGGAGGGCTTGCAGTCCACTTAGGGAGTCGGTAAGTATTAGGATTTTTTTGTGGTTTTTGGATTCTTGATTATGGAGGGCTGAGGCCATGCCCATTAGTTCTGCCGTGAATATTGATTGGTTGTTTGGGAGTCGGAAGGATTGTGTGGTTTTAGTTGGTTGTGTGGTATGGACTCCGAAACCTGTGTGTTTGGAGGTCGGATCTGAGGATCCGTCCGTGTAAATGTGACACCAATTTGGCCAATTTTCGTGTATGTATGCTAGTGTGGTGGTTTTAGCTATGTTTGGGTCGGTTTGTTTATTTATTTGGCTAGCTAGTGTTGTGTCTATTTTGGGTATTTTAAGTTTAGGGGTGAAGATATTTGATTGTTTGCAGTTTTGTTTAAGATTTTTAATTTGGTGTTCATTTAGGTAGTTTGTTATTCTTTGGGATATTGGGGTAAGTAAGGGGTGTTTACGAGCTAGAGCTTGGTTTTTGGGGCTGATGTTTTGGTTTATTAAGTTTTGGATGAGAGGGTTTGATTGGGACGCGGCCCACTGTCGAAATCCCCGCGGCTCCCAATATGGCGTGTATGAATTGTAATCGGCCAACCTCGTCTCTTTCCGTAACTGCTGCAGAAATGACCGCTCGTCATTCGTGACCAACTCGTGTTATTCCGGGACAAGCAAGTCTACCCATAATTCCCTGTATGACCGAGGGCGCCATTTTGGAACACAAAATCTAAACAAACACTCAAACCGCGTAATCGATGCACACCGTGATGCTTGATTGCGATATGCTTACCTCGTGTATCGAAACATTGTTCTCAATCACCTCTAACACGGAAATCCCGGTCGAAATCCACCTGAGCCATCCACAACGAGGACGTCGAGTATTTCGAAAACTCGATTGGCAGCCGAAGGAAGGAAGAGCAGCTTGCAGATGCCAGGTACGTAGCAGGGCTTCGAGACATAATGTTCCATGATTTCTATACAGAGATCTTATAGAATGGATTGATTTAGATATTTTCCTGATCTCCATGTTACTACTGTAAACGTCAAGGGCCTTTTAGTTTTGTTGTTTTCGGAAACCCTTTGTTATTATTATGATCAAGTGTTTGTTGTGACATAGTATTTCTATTTGGGCTTGCATAAGAGCTAGCCTACAGGTGCAGGACTTTTAAGGGTCGTGTCCTTATTCTCAACATAACGCTGGGATTTGATGATGAGGGTTAGTTACCAAGGGTATAAATCTGGCAAAGTGCATGTCAAACAAAATGTGGCATTCAATTCCAATCATGTGTTGCCACCTGAACCGCCTGAAAGTGAGATATGGATCACAATGAATAATGACAGCTTATCAATCTTTAACAAATTCACACTGAAACACTGAAAGGATAAAGACAAGTTAGTTGTTTTCTGTTTCAGCATGTTCAGGGTTTGTGGGGAGGTTCACAGACATCCTCAGGGAGGATACCAAGTATTGAGTGAGTATTTTTGTTTGTGATAAATACAAACTACATGTATTCATCATGGTATATTTCAATGCAATGTGAAACATCACACTCACAATAGTCCAGCTCTGTGATGGCAGCCTGTAAATAATTGAACATGGACCAGGCAATCTAGTGATTGTTATTATCAGCAAAGTTCCATGCCCTCAGAGTATGATGACAACCTAGTCTGACCACCCAATTCATTAGTTGATTAGTGTTTGCAGCGGTAGGAACTAACACTTTCAGTCCACTAGTCCTAAAATGATAGCATATAGCAAAACCTTTAAAATGTCAAAATGACTAGTGCCAATTTCTAACCCTGGTGTTTGGATGTTGTGTTTCTGTGTGTATGTATGAGTGTATTTAGGTTGGTTTGTTGTTTAACATCGCACTCAGCAATATTCCAGCTATATGACGGCGGTCTGTAAATAATTGAGTCTGGACCAGACAACCCAGTGATTAATATCATGAGCATCGAGCCACGCAATTGGGATCAATGACATGCTTCAACCAAGTCAGCGAGCCTGACCACCCGATCCCGTTAGTTGCCTTTCACGCAAGCATAATGGCCTTTTACGGCAAGCATGGGTTGCTGAAGACCTATTCTACCCCGGAATCTTCACGGGTCGAGTGTATTTAACTTAAATCATGAATCTTATACTTGTTTCTCTGTGCTTTTACAATGTAACCCAAATTTTCTCGGGAATAATAAAGTATTCTCTTATTTATAACATTTCTGAACAAAGTGTCATTTCAAGGTTAGATCTCTGTCAAAACAGTGCCATGGAAAAGCCAAACAAATAGCCTAGAAATAAAAGTAAATACTGCATTGCATTAATCTGCATTTCAAGAAAAATTGGCAATAATTCATGGAATGATATTCACCTCGGTGAGGATCTCTCTGCATTGTCGAGCAAGTAATTTCCTATGTAATGTATGTGTTGAATGACCCTGACTTTGTTGTCAAAATATTGTTTTGACATTTGTTAAATATGGGGATAAATGTCATCTCTGAATGTTTGACATGAATTATTATGATTAGGGTGGTTCTAAGTCGGAATCACAACCGGGGTCTTTTCATTTGAATCAAATGTACAACATGTACAGTTTGGACATTTTTCTGTGATGTGAATGCTACTTATGTTTGTAGAATGTCCGGATGAATAAAAGAGACAGTCATCTGTGCAGCATCAATGCAAAGAAAGACCATAGAAGAGCAACAGTGAGTGGTAAATATTTTGAAATTATTCTGTTTGGTTCACATGTTCATATGGTTATTTTGCAAATATGTCTTCAGTTTGTTCCTTATCGCTGTGGGCACGGATGTCCTATTATCTAAGGCACTACAATTTTCTGTGCAGAGTTGCATCTCTTGGGCTTAGCAGAAACCTATAGTCATGGGTTCAAATCCTGGTTCTCCCCGATTATGTTGCTAGGTTTGTCAGCATTATACACATGCTCGTGGGATTCATCAAAGACCTGCATCACTTCCCACATCAAGCTAACATGCACTGATATATCTGGAATACTGTTCAAAGCAGTGTTAAAGCCAACTCATTTATTTAACATTGCATCCAGCAATAGTTTGGCTATATGACAAGGATTGTAAATATATATTTTTCCATGTTGATGAGTTGAAACAATCACTAAATGACAGCTCTTAAAAAGATTCCCAGCATTCCAAGCCTAATTAATAGATAAGTGATTGAGTAGGCTCATTGATCGCATGTAATCATACCACAGTGATGTGGGATATTGTCCATAATAGTTATCATCGGTTTGTCTGGACCGAGTTCATAACATTAGTCACTGGTTTGTCTGGTTGAGATTTGAGATGTGATTATCTTAAATGTTTGATTGCTCAAATCTTTTTACATAATGCTGCAGAAACTGAAGTCCTGCTTGAGATCCCTGGATGAGTACTCCAGGTTGACAGTCTGGAAGGACCAGACAAGGGAGTCCTAAACAGAGGGTGCACCCCTTCAGATATCAGAGGTGATTTGCAGACAGCGATGACGAGGGTCCTGTTATTTCAATGGAGGCCGACCGAGAAGTTGTATGCCAAATGGTACTGGGACACACAAAGGCTGGTCTGGCTAATGTGAGAAGACCAACCAATGCCAAGCTGGAGTGGAATTCTTCCAGGACTTTCAGGAAATTCTTGTCTTGAGCCATATGGTAAACACTTGAAAGGAATGATAAATGGGACTTATTGTCTTTAAATGTGGACCCAAACACCAAATGGAAAGTTCACAATTCTACTAACACAATGCAGCAGAGATAGAGTCTAACTGGTATCCCCTCATCCTGGTTCCTGTTCATCCATGGCAATATAGAAAGAAAAGGAGGATTGAGGGAAAGTAAGTTCTCTGAACTGGTGAACATAATCCGTAGGTACTGTCAAGCGAACGGTTATCACACTCTGTTATGAGTATTGAAGAATAGGATGAAATTGCATACTGCATCAGGAACCATCATGTGAACACTGTTCAATGTGCGATATACTATAGGCATATGAATAAAAGAAATTGATAATTTGATTGTTGCTTATGTTTCATTTGCCAGCTGTGTAAATGGGGATGTTTCATGATTTTGCCTCAGTTTAATAGCCACACTTATCTTATGAAACCATGCATTGCTTGGGCATCTCAAGATAAATAACACATGTTTCCTTTGCTCTGAAAACGTCTGATGACACATTGATCTGTTATGTCAAAGGTCAAAGTCACAACCAGACAAAAAGTTTGTTGGTGGTCTAACTCTTCCTTTGGACAGGGGTCGAAGTTGGAAAAGGGTCGTGTGTGATCTATATATACTACATTTTCCCCTAAATTGCCTTTTCTGCAGAAGTCTTACTAACTCTAATATATATACTGGTTACATTACTTCCATATTTTGGTCAATGATATGTTGAATTCTACCAAAGGACTGCATATTTGGTTTATGTGCTGGATAGCTCTTTGAAATGTTTTGGAAATATTTATCACTGATATTGAAGGTCAAATTCACACTCAAAAGTGATAACTCTTGAAGGGTTGAAGTGTAAGATCAAGGCAATAGTGAAGGGGTCATTTATAAAGTATTTCTGCAATTATAACTAAAATGCCTATTTCTGGAGATATTTGTGAAGTATTAAGCACATAGTTATTATATTATTTGAATACACATATATGTGCAGTGGTTACAACTCCAGTGTCAAATTAACTCTCAATCCCTTTTAATAAAAGAATTCACAGTAACTGAGGAAGAGCTTACTGTAGTACCATAAAACTAGGGTGAGGCAAATTTCAATGAAGTTAGTATTTTGGATATAACAAGTACATGTGCCGTTACAAATAGTCTTATTATCATCTCACTAGGACCAAAGGCCCAAGTGAGCACATTGTCAATGACTTTTTCTTTTTCTCAGTACAAACTGGAAGTCTGGACATGAAATTTAAGGATATCATTATACAAGAACTGATGTTTGTTCATTAAATACCATTAACATCTGAAAAGGACAACATATGAAATTGAACAATTGTCTTCTCCAAAAATGTTTTAGGAGGATATTTACCATTAAAGTAACCCAGAATATTACAACAGCTACCTGTAATGCACAGGCTAACATTTTTTACCAGAAGCAAGTCATGAAGAAAATTTGCATCTGGATACCTTCCGGAAACCTTCCGGAAACCTACCAGATGCCTTCAACAACCTTCAAATTGCTTGGTATTTTCAAGTTAATTTTTTTATGTGTTTCACACTTAAGTGAACAAAATGCACCCCCCAAATTTTGACATTTTTTTGGGAAGGTTTCCGGAAGGTATCCGGGCCGGATCCAAAATGGGTAGGTATCCGGAAGGTTTCCGGAAGACGGAAACCTACACTTTTTTTGCTGTGTAGTATCTCGAATTCGACTGATTTGCGAACGAAGTGCCTTTCTATTACTGGAAGCTGCTTCGAGGCGGGCCAATCTTTCGTCTTCTAAGTTACGCAATCTTTCAGCTACGCGGCGTCTACTGAACCCATCGCCCGCCTGTTCAAGTTTTGTTTTCTCTTGAGCTATATGCTTGTCGATTTCGGATATCTTGGCTATATTATTGATGAGTTCTCCCCGCATTGTTCGCATTGCCTTGTCAAGACCTCGTAATTCCCTAATACTAAACTCCGATACCTGTAAAGTGGAATTATCGTAATAGGTATTTCTCCGAGTCCGTCTGAGGCCACCTTCGAGGAAGCCTCCAAATCATCTGTATTACCAAGTTCAGAACGCACAGTCCTAAGAACCTTAGTAGTCTTCGCGGAAAGTCGTCGGTAGTCCACAAAACCTAATTTATCACGAACAGTGCTGATGCCGTGTTTAGTGGCTATCGTAGACAAGGCTAGGGGCTTACGAGTACGAGAATGCATAAGATCAATATCCGGAGCGCCACGCAGTCGCAATATTCCTTTACTATCTATCTCAAACTTTGAATAGTCACGACCTATTGGGGTATCTTCTTTTAAGGCATCGTTATAATCATTGACGGTTGATTGTAAAATTTCATCGTTAAGATTCGTGCCACCAAAGTTGGTTTCATCAGTATCTTCGATTGGATTCTGGTTATCAAAGTCATCAAAGGTACTTAGATCAAAGTCATTATGTTCAAAATTAGCAATTTTTATATTAAACATAGGGTACATAATTTCAATATAAACAATGTCTTCGCAATACGGACACAAGTTAAACCCACAACGTAGACTTCGAGATCCATTAGGGGTCAAAGCAATTCGTCAGTCTGTAACTATAACAAATAACCCTAGTACCATAGATCAGAATCAAACGCTTCTGGTTCGCTTTCCTAATCTCGGCGCACACGATGTGTTAGTTCCGGGAACTGTCCGACTAGCATTTACGATTAGTTTGACTTCTGCTGACGTTAACAGGGAGCCCGTTCAGAACATAGGTCGTGCTATTGTTAAGAAAATCGCGATTAAAATTAGCGGTAATGAGGTTTTGAGTATCGATGATAGCGATGTATACTATTGCTACATGGATCTCTGGAGAACGGATAAAGAGCGGGAAAACTTACAGTACCAAGGTATTTGTAATAAGAACACATTGAGACTGCGCGTGGGCGCTGAAAATGGTCTTGATACCAACGAAAAAGATAAGGCCGTTGCCGACGCATTAGGTAACAGATTCTATATTCCCCTAGACTTTGAATTACTAGATTCCCACATGCCCTTTTATCAAGCATCCCTAGGCGATAGGTTAGAATACGAACTCACTTTTAATGACTACGGCAGAGTAATCAGATCTGCTAATGAAGATGCTAGATATTCCATTGACAATATCTCGCTGGAGTACGATATGATAACGGATCCCGAATTAGCCAGACAAATTCGTAACCAGTATTCCGGAAGTTTAGCCATTTTGTACGATCGCGTGCTGCGACACCGAAAGATCACGAGGGACAAAAAAGATACGATGTGGAATATCAATCTAAACGTTCCCACGAGGTCGCTGAAGGGTATTTTAATGTTGTTCGAGGACCCCTCCGATGCGTTTAAAAGAAATACCGAGAAGTTTTACAATCCCAAGATTACAAAAGTAGAATTGACTATCGAGGGCGTTCCTAATCATCTATATAGCCAAGGAATGCTAGCGTATCACCAGTGGGATGAGATTAAAAAACTTCCTTCTATAAAACGTTCTCCGGAAGTTAACGCGGTCGTGAAAGATCTGTCTCTCGGGAGTGTATCGATGGGTGAATACCTCACAACGAAGTACGCGCTATGGCTCGACATGCGAACAACGGACGATGACCAACTACACGGCAGTGGGAGGAGAATAGAAAATGCTAGCGAGGGTGCCACCATACAGATAACGAAGCTCCAGGAATCGGCTGGTAAATTAAACATATATTTGTACGTGATTATGGATGCGCAACTTAATATACAGAATGGGAGATTCGTGCAAGCAATCTATTGATAATCTTTTGCCTAAAGATCTGCACTGCGCTATCATATGCGGGCAAATGGGCTGCGGAAAAACAGCTTTTATTCTAGATATTTTACAAAGTCATTATCGGGACGTTTTCGATCATATTATTATTCTGTGCCCGACTATAAGCGTTAATAAAACCTACCTATCGAGAGATTGGGTAATGAATGATGACGGGGTACACAGAGTCGATCCGGGCGATCGATTACAAGACTGACTCCGAGTATGTCACGAAAAATACAAAGGAGAATCAACCCTTTTCGTAATAGACGACTGCAGCGCGAGTAAAGAATTAACAAAAAAGAAAGATATGCTTTCGTATTTAGCATTCTCCGGTCGGCATACTCAGCATAGCGTTTGGGTTCTTACTCAAAAATACAACTCTGTCCTGAAAGATCTCAGAGAGCAGACAAAATGGGTAGCGCTGTTTCATTGCAAAGATCGAGATTCATTCGAGGAATGTCTACGCGAAAATGACGTCATTTATACCAAGGGCGAACGAGATAAAGTCAGAAAACAGTTAGCGGCAACGAAGCACTGTAAACTCGTATTAAAAACCGATCAACCAGCTGCTTATGCAATTGCTTAGCAAAATGTAGCAAATTGTAGCAAAATTATAGCAAAATGTAGCAAATATAGCAAAATTATAGCAAATTGAACATTAGCAGTTAATATGACATAAAATGTGGTTCGAAATCCTCATTCTTTCGCAACAGTTCTTTATTACGGAATGTATTGGATATGTCATATTATATTATGTTAGACTTAAATATCTCCTTAGGTATTACATTATGGAATGCGACGAACTCATCGAACAAATGCTCAAAGAATCTGATGTTGATAAATCTTTAGATAAATCTTTAGATAAACATAGAGAAAGACACGCCGCTTTGGTAGCCGGTGGAAAATGTTCTCAATATTTGGGAGAAAATTATACCATCGAAAAAATTGATAACATGACCGACGAAGAGATTAAAAAACTGTACGCGCGCTACGAGTCTAGACTGGGAGCTACCATGACTAAAACGATAGGGTCTTCTATATTACAACTATACACAGTCGTAGCTAGTACGTTTCTCCCCATCCCGGCAGAACATCGCATGTATTTATGCGAATCTCTCGAGAAAGACCCATTCATCGAACACGCTATAAGCTCAGTGAGCTGTGAGTTTTATCATAGATTCGGAATGTTTTTAGCTCCGTTCACCACAGCTTTAATAACGGCTAGGTATTGTCAATTTAAACATACGTGCCCACTTAATAATAACGAAGTTCAAATTAATAATGGAGACACAATCACAACAGGTGACACCACAGATTGTGAACACACAACCACAAGTGAACGAGGAACAACAAGTGAACACACAACAACAAGTGAATGAGGAACCACCTGTGAATGAGAAAACACAAAAACAAGCTAGAGTTACTAAGAACCCCCAAAAAATAGCCGCAGGAAGAAAGGGAGGGCTGGCGTGCAAAGCAAAATTAATAAATAATTCAAATATTAATCCGATTAAAACATGGGCACTAGTAGGAGTTGCTGGTATAGTG